GCCAAATAGCACGAGAATATTCCATATAAATTTGAGAACAAAACTCCAATCACCTCTCGTAGTACATTCGAGATGGACAGTCCCTGAGGGGTCCGTGATTATTTTATTACGCACAGCCCCCCTCTTGTGACAGACCCACATCTCTATCTGTTCAAAAAAAAATCCAAAAATCTCAAAGAAGAGAGAAAACTGATGCAGTTTTTGTGATGCACACACTCCCTCCAACGACGTAGCAATTCAGAATGGCCAACCATTCAAGATAGGCCACACTCCTCCTGCAAATCAATCCACCACGTGTCAATCAGATCATTTCTATTTCTTCAGAACATCAAATTTGGTGAATTGTTTGAGGGGGATAATTACTGTCTTCTCATCCTTAAAACCTCACTTCAAGAATTTAGATTGAGTGAAAAAAGAAAAAAGAAAATCTTGGAAAGGCTAAATCAAGAATGGCATCGACAGCTGCTTCTTTGGTTTCGTCAACTTTGATTCAGTCAATTGGTGGTGGTCTTAAAATTCAAAAATCTTCTCTTTCTAATCCGATTTCACTCACTTTGACGAGGTATATATAGCTGCTATCTGCATCTTTTTTGGGTAATTCTATATCAAGATTATGTCTTTTCTATTTTTTGCGATGATTATGTTTGGTTTTGTATCGGTTATTTTGAGGTTTAGGTCACTTTTGGGCATTAGAGAGTAGAATTTCCGTTTTATTTCCATGAAGGTTTTGATCAATTATTGATGACACATATAATACTAACATCTGTTTTGTGGGTTTATGAAAACAAATGTGGTTAATTTAGCATTGACCTTCAGTGCACAAACCTGAAAGTTCTTTTCTGCTCGTATCTGATTTATGCCCTGCGTCCACAAACGTTTCAGTGGACTTGCAGTCCTTTTCTGATATTGTTCTATATTCAATCCAGGAGAAAATTTCGAACTATTGTGAAGGCAACTGCTCGGGTTGATCAGTTCTCCAAAAGTGACATCATTGTTTCTCCATCTATTCTTTCTGCTAATTTTTCCAAGTTAGGAGAGCAGGTCGTTTTTCATTTTCTAATATTTGCTCTCATAGCCATGTCTTAGATCTGAGAAGCAGAGTTTTAGCTGCAGTTGAAATTCATTATTTACATGACTGCTGTATCTAGAGGTGATTGATCATCAAGGTCTATGACGTTCACCCTTTTACATCTTATATCTCTAGGTCAAAGCAGTGGAGCTAGCAGGTTGCGATTGGATTCATGTTGATGTGATGGATGGCCGTTTTGTTCCAAATATTACAATTGGGCCTCTTATAGTCGATGCCCTGCGCCCTGTCACAGACCTTCCATTAGATGTGCATTTGGTATTCTTCATTTTTTTAAATTTAATTTCAGACCTACGTTGCATGAAAACGTTTTTTGCTAAAACAGAATTGATGCATTGCAGATGATTGTGGAACCTGAGCAAAGAGTTCCTGATTTTATAAAGGCTGGTGCTGATATAGTCAGCGTCCACTGTGAACAATCTTCCACCATCCATTTGCATCGCACCATAAATCAAGTAAGAACATGAAATTATGATGCCATATTTATTGCAACCTGTGTTGAGGTTTTAATTAAATGCATTCAACTTTGGCAGGCTTTGCATACAATTTTTTGATTTTATTTTTACCATCAATCTTTCATTACTTATTGGAGAGAAGTATGGAGAAATAATTAACCACAATCAACTTGTCTCACATGGCGATGCCTTTTTTGCTAAGATAAACTGAGACCTTGTCTCCTCAAATGGTGAATCTTATAACTTTGTGCATTGGTCTAAAAATGTCATGTACCATTTCTTGAATGATATTGGAAAGTTTTCTATGCGATCAGCAAGATTGTTTTATGCAACGTAAGGATATATGTATTATCTAAAAATAATGATTTTTAACGTTAAGGGCGTGTTTGAGCCACGTTATTTTGAAAGAATGTATTTTGAAATAGTAGATTGATGGAGAATGGGTGATTGAAAAAGAAGGAAAAGTTATTGATATGATGGAAAATATTATTTTATTGATGAATGTGTCGTTGAAAATGAGTAGAAGAATAAGAATAAAAATTTTAATGTGGCTCAAACAGGGGTTAAAAGGAAAGACAATAATTTTGTTATTTCTCTCTGTTTGTGTAGAAGGAAGAAAGAAATATAGAGAGAATAAGTTTGGATGTACAGAGTTTTGGGTTTGGACGTTTAATTGCCATGAAAGTATGATGTATTTGGCTTTGTAAGTTTGAAGTAGCTTCGAACTTGTAAGCTAAGTATGAAGTTGCTTGGGAACTATGAACTATGTATAATTTTGGGTTTGGATTATTAGAGTTGAAATAATCCTGGAGTTTGGACATATGAAGTCTAGTCCATGATCTGTGGGAAGATCTCCAGTGTTTGTCTGAAAATATGATTACAAAATTTAAAAGTTGTGACTCTTCTTCAAAGGATTTTTTTAGGGCGTGCCTTTCAAATTTAATGTGGAGTTCAGAGAGGTGCTTAAACTCCCTTTGAAAAATTGAATAGAGGTTGAGCCATTGAACGACATATATGAACTTTAGAAACATAAAACAATCATTTAACTTTTCTTTCTTCTTTCTTTCTTCTGTTTATACTCTATTCATTGGATCTTGGGACGTGTTTAGATTGAAGAACAGTTTATGAGGTGCATGCTAATTTATTCCTAAGTGTTAGGCATTTTGACAGGTGGTATTTCCAGTAACCTTTTGTGCCATAGATGGAGACCATTCTTAGGATAGCGTTTTAAAGAAGTGCACTGCCAAACTTCCTTTCTGTTTTCTGTATCATCTTCAAGTTTTAATCAAGTTTTGCCACATCATATCAATTTCATATAACAGTTTACACACAGTAGATAACTGTTTTCCATATTTGGATTTTGCTATTAGAAAATTTACAAAGAAGTGCATTGCCTGACTTACTATGAGTAACTTGGACTGCCTGCAATTGATTTCTAGTTGTGTATCGTCTGATCACAGTTCTTTGTTAATTGCTCTTTTTTTCTGAAAAGAGAGTCCTAATGAGGGCAACTAACTATTTCGGTCTAAAGCATACTCATTATCTTTTATCCAGGAATCATGAAAGAACTTCATGGCATTACTATGTGTTATGTTATTACTAATCTTGGACTTTGTTAACATTTGATTGTGTGATGTTCATATGGTCAG